ATATATGAATACTTATATGGTATATCTAAGTATATCTATGGGTTTCTGTTTCGAGCTGTGTCCACACAATTCACCACTTGCTGAAATGGGATACACCTGACCATGTAAACTAGATGTATACTTTATCTAGACTTCAGTTGTATTGTATGTGTAACATGTTAAAAGGTACAGCAGAACTTGTAATTAATCCTCACGGACAACCTTCAACGTATTTCCATACACGTGGATAATTTTGTTTTATTCTATGACATTACCGACAATTTAATTTATGTAGTAAACTATAATTCATGGATGGATACTCGCGCATTCTTGTTTTATACGTACCTTTCTGATCGCTAGAGTGGATCATTGCTTGGTGAATAATCCTACCGCTACTACTTTTTCGGCAATATAATTTCGGCGATGAAAAACCACATATTGAATCACCAGCAAACTATGTGCGACCAGTGCGACGAACGCTGACATTTGTGCCGAGCCCTATTAATTAGATTTAGTCGGGCAATTGCCTACTTCGTATAGCACGGGATTCATAATGGGTTTCACACTCCCGGCTTTGTCATTTTTTGAAGTAACTGAGGACTCCAATATTCATAGGCGCAAGTAATGATATTCTGGAAATGTCCATAATTTAGTTTTTTTTCTTCGGTATATGTAATATAACAACCCAAGTTGAAGATGGAGAAGATTTATGTATGCCTCGCAAACTGCCCTATATGTTCATAATTAATCGCAATTGAAATCTCTAGTCTAGATTGAAAGCCAGTAGAAACCATATGTACTGAAAATAAACGTACTAATAAACTGTGTCATAGGTTTTTGATGTAATCCAAGCGAGGCACACATAATTATAATTCGTTCCAGGAAAACTCAGAAACATACTAATTTACCTTCCAACAACCTGGGAAACAATACGGTATATCCGATCTATCGCACCTCTCTACACTTCGAATGCGCATACTTACTGTTCCAGTGTATCCTCAAAAATCCTCCGCTGATCCTATAACCATAAAACTCTGAAATCCTAAAACCCTAAAACCCTCCCCCCTCCGCCTCACCCCACACACAGGTACTTGATGTGCTCCATCGATGCCAAGTGCGGCTTTGGGTGTCAGCTGCACCGTATCAGTTGGTGCATGATCCACGCCGTTATGGAGAACCGCACAATGGTGATGCGCCCCAACGCCATTAGGGAATACGGGCGCGACACCGAATGCGGCAGTCAGTATGTTGTGTGTGTAGTAAAATGTGTGTACCCTGTTATGCTGTGTGCTTATGATGAGTGTCTACTAATATGTGTGTACTTTTGCATGTTTTGTGTACTTTTGTTGAGTATATACGAATATATGTGTACTCTGCATATGTTGTGCACGTATGCTTTCCGTCTACTAGTTGTCCGTAGTCTGTATACTTAGTGTACGTACACAGCTGGTGCTGTCGTTCAGTAGCTGACTGGTTTTCGTTGGTACCGAGCTTCACTTTGTTTGAAGTAGGAACACTATTTCCGTAATGTAGCCGATGTTTCAGTGCACCCTTTGGGTCTTCAATATAGAAGAACACATAGATCACTTTTAGACAAACTATTCGCGCTATGCCAGAACCCTGCCACATCGAATGGCCCACTATTGATCGCACGGAACGTCGACTACTGATGGTTATTATGATACAAACTGTTATGTGGTATACTTATCGTCTAGTTGGAACTGCTGTTTGTTTTTAACATTTAAAACTGTAATGTGCTTCACGTATCTTTACATTTTAACATTAAAAACTGTATTGTGCTTTATCTCGCTTTCAATTTTAACATTAAAACTGTAATGTGCATAACTTATCTTTCAATTTAAACATTAAAACTGTAGTGTGCATTGCTTCTCTTTTAATTTTAACATCGAAACGGTAGTGCACTTTCCTGATCTTAACATTAAAATTGTACGGTGCTCTACTTCTCGGTTAGTTGGAACTGCTGGTTCGATAATGTGTCTGGGTGCCAGGTATACGCAGCCGCGCGCAAGTCAAGTCTCAAGGATCAGAAGGACTTCAAAACGTACAGTGAGAATCCGTTTACCAAGCACAAAGATTGGCTACCCCCTGTTTTGGTAGAAAGGGGTCTTAAAAATATGACAGAGATGCCTACGGCCTGGTTTGTGGGCCAGATCGTGGGATGGCTGCTGAAGTATGCGGACGAACTCAACGCTACCATAGAAGATTTCAAAGCAGAGGTGTGCGAACCTAATATATGAATGCTTGTGTGATTTTTATTACACAGACACACACAGACACACAAACACTGACACACACACACACACTGACAGACAGACAGACACACAAACACTGACACACACACACATATATATATATATAATATATTAAATGATAGTAATAATATATTAATAATATATATATATATATATATATATATATATATATATATATATATATATANATATATATATATATATATATATATATATATATAT